GTTAATGATAATGTTAAAAATCTATTAATATTTATTATAAAAATCTTAAATTTTTATGTGATCCTGAAAATATTTATTGCGATGGAACATTAACTTACGGTGCCAAAGACAGGCACGTATTGACTATTGAGGGGGGTTTAAGCAAAGCCCGTTTAAGCCCATCTAAAAAAATGTATGATATATAATATCTATTATTTTAGGTTCTGAGTGGGAGCGATGAATGTATTGATTTTACAATAATGTGTGTTTTTTAATTTTTTAATTTTTTATTTTTGTGTCTGTCACCGGCGTTTGGGGCAGTAAAACTGTTTCGAATTTCTTCAATAGTATCTTGTTCGATGGGAAAGTCTGTTCGGGAGGTAAAAATTCAAAATTCCAAATAGTTTTAAAATTTAAAAAGCACCAGGAAAAACAACATAACAATTAAAGAAAAACGGGAATTTCTACGCAAAATAGACTTTGGTTTTTGGCATAACTCTTAAAAATAGATACATGAAATGTTCAATGGTTGTATTAATATACAAATCAATGGCGTATTTAAGATTTAATTTCAGATGGTATGGCCCCCCTCCCACCACCTATTTTAATGTTTACGTGACTGACGTAAAACCTGTTGTATCTAGTATAATATATCATATAAATCATTAAAGAAACATTTGCATGCCCATTTGCATTATCAAAATATCATACAGTGGTAGTGGCGTGTTGAAGGGGTTTTTGAGAGGACATAGCATCTGAGTTTTTTAGTGGATGAGTGGGTGGTTTGGGTAGTCAAGGGCTCATGACCAATATAAGGATCTGGGGGTATATTTTGTAAAATGATACGTTCGTTTTTACGCACTGTATTTGTTTACGAACGTATAATTTGGTATTTTTTACAGCCTACGAAATGCATATCTACGAATATTTTAGTTAGGTTCTTTCGTACGTATATAGTCATTATAATATTATGACGTACATCTATTTTAATTTTGTATTTATACGAACATTGTATAGATTATGGATTTATGGATATATTTTAAAATACGTACAATATCTGTACCTAAATGTAATGTATATTATGACAGGGCCGATTTCGTCTAAAACGGTTTACTGAGTTATCAGGAAGTATAAGAGAGAAGAGATTTGAAAGGTTGAATGTGGTCTTGTGAAATGATTTATAAATAGTGGGAGGATAGTGAATGAATGTGGTTGGGACTTTGAGGTTATAGAGTGGAGGGATGGACTTCTGACACACCAGGAGACTTTTGTAATGAAGCGAAGGTAAATTGACTGGAATGGTTGGAATATTTTAATATTTGGTGTTTTGGCAGGTAGTATACCTGTTTTGCAAAACCTAAGTAAAGAAAAATTATATCCCGAAAAATTTCAGCGTAAACATTAGTTCAAATTAATAGTACATCACGTAACAAGAACAAAACAATAGTTATATATGTATAATTTATTAAAAAACAAAATATTATATAATTTTTGTAAAATTATTGCAAATATAATTTTGAAAATTATTAAAAGTATAGGTTACAATTTTTCAAGAATTAAAAATATTTTAATAATTATTATAATATTTTATTTATATATTTTACAAATTGTATGCAACTTATACTTTTAATAATTTTCAAAATTGTATTTGCAATCATTTTACAAAAATTATATAATATTATTTTATTATTTAATGACAACACAATAAATTATTGACAACAATTTTATAGTGTTATAATTATTATTATTTAACTAGGTATATTATATTTTTTTATACAACTTATTTACCCGAAACCCGAATAAATGATTCGGTTGCTAAGCCCGACTTAAGCTCTAGGATCTGTAATTTTTTTTTTTATAACTGTCATAAATCTGATGCTCGTGCAACAGTATTTACCTATTATACTACTTTAACATTATTATCTAGTACCTTTACTGACTTTCAATGTACTAATTACTTCCTATGTAAATACTTGATATTGCGTATACCATTTATAGCTGTAACTTATTTATATAGTAAAGTAAAGGTTATAATGAAACTGACTTTCAATCACAAAGTCCTATTAAAGTAAATTGTTTTACACAATCTATATCCGAATAATATAGGTATCTGATAGAAGTGACCTAGTGACATTACTGAACGGTTAAGTATGGGTAAAACTATATTTTAAAATGATTGACAAAACTCCTAGGCAGTGTTAGCATTATTTAGATAAAAATATCTAAATAAATAACTATTTATCTTTTTCGTATCTATATAATTACAAATAAACCGTTGTAAAATGTTCTTGAAAAACTATACAAGATTAACAAATTATTTGTCTAGATGGTTAGATAAACTATTCGAGTAGAAACTTTTCAGTTTTTTTATTTTGTAATATTATTTACTTATGTTAAATGAAATGTAAAAATGAATTCAAGGTTACTTAGATACTACGGGTGCAATTTACTATACCCTTTTTAGACCCCGAAAAATCCAGGGCCCAATTTACTATACCTATTTTAGAAGACAAAAAATCCCTGGCGCAATTCACTATAGTATTTTTACTACCTGCTTAATGTGGGTGCAATTTACAACAATTTAAACATTGCAGGTGCATAAAAATATAGATCTATGGTCTGAGAGATATAAGTATATAACCCTTCGTTAATAATTGCGTTCATTGTTGATGTACGCGAGTCTATGAGTCTAAAAAATGTAATTGTTTCATATGGAAAATAAAAAGAATTTATACTTTACGAACGAGAAGAAACTTAAAAAAGATAAAGATAGGCACATTTTAGAAAATAAAAATTAGAATAGTAATCGAAAAAATATAAATATTATTAATGAAATTAAAAACTGATGTATTAATGTATTATCATATTAATATTATGCAAATGTATTTTGAACAAAATTAATAAGAAAATGAATAACTAGGCTGCATACTATTAAGCCAGCATATCTATTATTTATTGTATAATATTAAATATAAATAACTTGTTTGTGTAAGTTTGGTTATAATATTGTGTTTGTGGCCAACACACGATACTAAAAATGAATACCAAGTAGGTATATATATTCTATTCAGAATAAGATCAAACCAGATTTACTTATCAAAACCGGTTTTCATCATGGCCACCTGGTATGTTCTTAATCTGAATAGAGTATAGCTCTCCACTAAGGCTGCTCTATTTACGTCAATAGTATATGAAGTATTAAAAAAAAAAACTACTTAAAAATAAATTATCGATCTAAGTCTTCCTGTTTACAGCTATTCTAATTCTAGTTTAAATCAGTCAAAGTTAAAAAGTTCCTACTCAACCGAATAAAAATAATTCTAATGGCATTATTGATTATATGGTATAATTGAGAGAGGAGGGTGGACCACGTCGATACAGGAAATCTTTATAATTTGTACATCCCTAAAAACATTGGTCTAGTTGCGCTTATACCCGGATGGGTGAGTTGAGTGACCACTGACCACCCAAGGTTTAGTGATAAATCATCGCCACATATACACGTGTTCAACCTACCGTACCCTCCCCCACACTCGACGTATATGTATAGTCGTATGTATTGTTTCGATGCGGTTGTTATTGCTAATGTGGTTGTTATCAATTTTAATCTTAATCTGCCGCAACGTTGCACAGTGCACGGCAAATCTAGACAAACAGCATATAGGTGTAAGGGCCGGGCCACACATAGCGGTTGAACCGCAGCGGTTGAACCGCCCAACAAATTCAGATTGTTTGATTTTAAATGCAACCGCCTGATATGCGTTCACACTTACGCGGTTCAGCCGCGGAAACTGCCGCGGTCGAAAAATCGACCGCAACATGTCGCGGTTCAACCGCTATGTGTGGCCCGGCCCTAAGAGTATGGAAAAAAGGCAAAAACAATATTATGCAGACCTATAGTTATTCTTTTCTGAACACCACAGACTGAAAAAAATATATTCTATTTTGAAAAAATGTATTAATTTAAAAAAAATATTACGTGATTATTCGAAATAAAAACATTTTATTAAAATTTATAAGTCACGCTTATTGTTGGTAAAATTGTAAAAAATAAGTAAGAATTCAATTTAAAATATACAATTAAATGGATATTATATTGCATCAATATTTCGTTAATATAAAATATAAACTTATTATATAATTTATAATGTAAACCTACAAAATAACTACGTATATTTTACGCATTTCACTGATTAAGTAAAATACTGTTTTGTATGTTATTTAATTAAATCTCGAGTTATTAAAAGTTTATGAAAAAAACAAAAATATGTCGTTTACTTTTCATTCATTTGATTTTCTCCTATTACCGTGCACGGCGCACTCTATTCGGATGCGTCAGGAATACCCGAATACCATATTTATTCTGTGATATAAGTATACGACCATCTGGGCGTGTTGTTATCTTGAGACCGGGCAAAATGCTCAAACAAATAGAGTAATTACAAGTTACAACTCTATATGGCTCAAACGCTGTTTTATCGGTTGATGAACTTTACTCAGTAACCGACTACTACGAAATCTATAGCATAATATTAACGTTTTTTACAATCTCATCGGCTTGTGATGATGCAGCGGCGTTAGTGGCGGCGCGAGCGCATCGACCAATGAGAGCGGACCACGAGCGGCTGCCGATGATAACACGTCCGTGTCGATAACGCGAGACTGCGAGAGATTTAGGTTGTCGCCGCCGTCGTTATTTTGTCTCTTCCGATAAGTTCAGCATAAACGGCGGAGACGCAAACACAAATCACGTAACCTAATCGGACGCGCGCACGTCGACAAAGGACGCTCCACGCACCGAACAACCAGCCGGCGGCAAACACGGTCGCGTCACGATTTCCTTATCGCCCACATTCTAGCGAGTGCCACAGAACGTCCTGTCGTCCTCCGATCGAACGGCACTCCGGTCTCCGGCACAATCGTCCCCTGACTCCCGCTGCGCACGTCTAAAATATTATTCCTTTGTTCTCGATTTCCTCCGATTTTCGATTTCCTGTTGTAAGAATAAAACGCCGACTGATATGAACCCACTGCGCTGTAAGTAGTACCTGCGTCGGACATAATCGGACGCTCGTTTGCAAACTGCCGATCGCGTCGAATACGGCTCGTTTTTATTTGTTTTTGTGATTTTTTCAGACGTTTTGTTAGCGGCCCTTGCCAGTTCCGCGGTGGCCATATATCCGTCCAATTCGGACGTCATTGAACTCACCGACGACAATTTCAATCAGGTGCTTCAAGGCGTCGAGATATGGGTGGTCGAGTTCTACGCCCCGTGGTGCGGACACTGCCAGCGACTTGTACCCGAATACTCGAAAGCCGCCAAAGCCCTTAAGGTATAGTACTCACGACGGTGTTAAGCATTCCAGGTGCTAGCCAGGTTCTTATGCTTATCCTCCGTTTATTTTTATTCAGGGTATCGTCAAAGTGGCTGCCATAGATGCCGATAAGTATCCGTCTTTCGCAGGCCGTTATGGGGTACAAGGTTTTCCTACAGTAAAAATATTTGTTGATAAAAACAAACCACAAGATTTCACCGGAGATCGAACGGCCATCGGTATTACTGATGAGGTCACCAAAGCCATAAAGAACGCCATTAGCGCTAACCTCCAAGGTGTACCTTACGGATCATCTAAATCGTCTAAAAAATCATCATCTGGTGACGACGTTGTTGAACTGACTGATTCAAATTTCGATAAGCTTGTATTGAATTCTGATGATATTTGGTTGGTTGAATTCTTTGCCCCATGGTGTGGACATTGTAAAAACTTGGCTCCTCATTGGGCAGCAGCTGCTTCAGAACTCAAAGGAAAAGTAAAGCAAACATTGTGTCATTATAACATTTTAAAATTGAGTCTTTATGATTATTTATGCTTTTAAGGTTAAACTCGGAGCATTAGATGCTACTGTGCACTCTTCAAAAGCTCAAGAATTCAACATTCGTGGATATCCTACAATTAAATTCTTCCCATCTGGTACATCCAGTTCAAGTGGAGCTGAGGAATATACTGGAGGAAGAACATCTTCAGACATTGTTAGCTGGGCAATGCAGAAACATCAAGAGAATGTACCACCACCAGACATTATTGAGGTAAGGTTTTAGAAAATAGAAGTAATCAATAAACAATGATTGCTTAATTTAAATTGTATTTTAAATAGATTGTAAATGAAGATACATTCAAAGCTGGGTGCTCAGAGCATGCTCTATGTGTCGTCTCTGTACTACCCCACATTTTAGATTGCCAGGCCAGCTGTCGTAATGAGTACCTGAATACATTACGCTCATTAGGGGATAAATTCAAACAAAAACTTTGGGGGTAAATTTTGTTTCAATATATACATTTTTTTCTACTTCATATATTTTTCACACAATCACATATCTTCAATTTTACCAGATTCTTGTTTCTTGTTCTTATTCCTACTGTATTTTTTTTCCTTACAACAGTTTGTAGTTTATTATTAAATATGATTCTAAAAAAACTATTTAGATGGTTGTGGGCCGAAGCAGGCAAGCAACCGGAATTGGAATCAACACTAGAAATCGGTGGTTTTGGATATCCCGCATTGGCTGTGCTGAATGTTAAAAAAATGAAGTATTCAATTTTAAGAGGGTCGTTTTCAGAAGATGGAATTAAGGAATTTTTAAGGTATGCAATAGTTATCTATTTTTTTTTTCTTATAAATTGATTTAAATTTTATACCGATTAAATATGTTTCCATTCTTCAACAGAGATTTGTCTTACGGTCGTGGTACAACTGCCCCGGTCAAAGGTGCTGCATTACCAGAAATTCAAGCAACTGAACCCTGGGACGGTAAAGATGGTGAATTACCAACTGCCGATGATATTGATTTATCTGATGTTGACTTAGACGATCTTCCTAAAGAAGAATTATAAACACATCTCCGGTCTCTCTTTTTTTTTTATATTTTATATTTTTTAAGACTGAACAAGTTTTGCTAATAAAATGTTTAATTGTAACACTTAACAGTCAACCTTCTGATTTAAACTTCAATAAACTAATGTATTATAATCAGAAAACTAATATTAATTTGAAGAAAATACACTCATAATTTGTAACTTATTTATTAACTAGTTGTTAAAAATAATCTAAATAATACCTAGATTTCCACCTATTTATGTGTACTATTCTTTTTTAAGATAATATCAGAGTTCAATTTTTGAAGAATGTTTTTTATTTAATTTTTATTATTATTATTTTTAAAGATCCATTGTAATCCGTAGTTGATTAAATTGTTTGATGGTATTTATTATAATTAATAATAGTAATAATTGCTAAATGGTAACTTATTGTATTCTATAATCCTCCAAAGTAATAATGATTATTAAATTGAATTATTCATGGCGCGCACACATTATTTAGAATGAAATGTATTTTTGTAGATCAGAAATCTGCATTAAATTGTGTTTAGTGAATTGGCCAAGTTGATACTTTGTATAAAATCAAATTTGATGATGCTATTAGACATTTATAATAACGTGGATTTGTAATGTTGTAATTTGAAAAATCAAATCCTTAAGAAAAATTAATAAAGGCATTTATTTGAAATATTATTACTTTATTATCATAAGCCTTTTTAAAATGTATTATTTTCAAAAGATAAATAGGAGATTATTGTTAAATATATAATGAGTAAAAATGTTTTCTAATAAATCTGCATTCAATAGTATAAAATCAACAAAACTATTCATGTTAAGAAGGAACCTCTCTAACAACTAGTTTTTGTTATACGTTGTTCAAGTTACACTGCCCCAAAAAGTAATGACACACTCAAAATTTAAATTTAAAAAAAAACACATTGTAAAACCAGTACATTCATTACTCCGCTCAAAATATGCATCAATAAAATTTAATTAATTTAAGGAAGTTTTTTTTTATTAATTAAAAATATACAATCATAAATAATTTTAGATTCTTAGCGGAGCATAATGTGTATTTTTTTCTCTGTCAGTAACATTTTGGGTAGTAAAAATACTCCTATATTCTAGATCATCAGCTTTGCTGATAAAAAAGTTGATCTAGTTGGTACTTTTGGGAGGTCAAAATAGAAAATTCCAAGTAGTTTTAAAAAGCATCCAGAAAAACAAAAAAAAAGTAATTTTTATGCAATAATTAATAATCGTGGACCCTTCAAATTTTCACCAAATATTTATATGAGCATTTTCAATGAATGGTAACAATTTCGAAGTATTTCGTCTCTTTTTGAGCTGGTTATAACCTAGAGACATTTTTTTAAAATTTTTCTGGATAAAAACATATTCACTTACTGCAGTCCTGTAAAGTATTTGAGTAAAAGTATTTGAATAAAAGTATTCAAATACTTTTTTAAGTATTGAATAACTTTTTAAATACTTTCAGCATGAAGTATTTTGAATGGTATTTTAAATACTTTTTTTGTATTAAATACTTTTTGGTATTGAATACTTTGGTTTTTTTATTTCGAACATTTTATTTTTATTCGAAATAATTTTAGAAATTTTAGAATGAATTAAGAACACAAAATAGGTAGTATCACCAATGGGTGGTTTCTTCCCTCAAAAAAAAAATCATACGCAAATACCCTATGCACATTTGCTTATTGTTCTAGTTAAGAACAGATTGTAAATTTCATGTAAAAATAAAAAAAAAAAAATGCAATAAACATTTATTTAATAAATAATAAATAAAAATGATTATAAATTTACTACCTATGTGTCTATATTACAATAATTAGAAACCCACTTTAAAAACCAAAAGTATTCCAAATACTTTTTCAAAGTATTTGAGTAGTATTTGAAATACTATACAATTAAAGTATTTGAGTAGTATCTTAAATACTTAAAAAAAAATGTATTTGAGTACTTACTCAAGTACTTTTCAAAAGTATTCTTTACAGAACTGTCACTTAGTAAAAAGCTTTGAAATTTAATACAAAGTGCCATAAAAGTTTCTATTTATCATATACATTATATTATACAAGTTCAAATATAGGTATTAAATATACTTGAGCACAATTATTTTTTATATGCTTTAACAGTTAACAATTTGACAAATTTTCAAACTATTCGGTTTGAAGTTCATAAATTGTATTCCTTTCAAAGCTAAGATTAAAAATTTTAATAGAAGAGTTCACATAAGTTTTTCTCCTTATAACAATAAAAAAAAGTTTTCTTAAACTGAATATTAATTTTTTATGAGTGTTTGAACTTAGGTATAGTACATTTTTATGGTATTTGATATTCAGCGATAAATTATCGAATTCCCATTAATCGATTTTTGATACCTATTTGGTCCAATTTCCAAAACGAATAACTGTAGACTTTTGAAATGGTACATACGCTGTACAGCAGAGCGGTACCCATATGTCCACATTTATAAAATTAAACTTTGTGAACTGTTGGTTAATCCATGGGCGGACAGGCCATTTTTGGCCTACCGGGAAATTATTAAAAGGGACCCCTGTCCCACATGAAAAAAAATAAGCTCACTTCGCTCGCAAGTACATTATTAGGATAATTATATGAGCTACCTTATCAAAAGAAAACAATGTACAACAAAACACATTTTTAAAATCATTTATTTATTTTTTAATTTTTTAAATAATAACATTCTACCAAATACTGGGACTTCTATAGCTCCTAATTTATTAATGTCTTCAGAATCAATTTTGTTCAGAATATCTTTTAGATTATTTTCAGAATATTTGTGAGTTATTAGTTATTACCCAACTCAGAACCGTGAACACTACCCGCCGCCAACCGGTAATCGACATTGTACCTAATTATTGAAACCCCTCAATTGTAGTTGGTGGCAGAGTGGTGGCTGCGGGCTGATAGGCGGTAAGAAGTCTTTGGTAAAATACTACAGAATAGTAATAGATTTATAGGTATTAGATTATCTATATTACTAAATAAAATGTCGCTTTTTTTTTTTTTGGGATAACTCCGAAACTACTTATTCAATCGTGTGCAGTTTTTTTAAATTAAAGAGGACATCACATAGAAGGTTTTGGGCATAAATTTAGTCCGATAAAAGTTCCCGATTATTAAATAATCGATTTTGGCTTTTGGTGTAACTCTAAAACAAATGATCGTAAATACATGAAATTTTCAGTGAATGTTTATATTAGCCTTTTCAGTTTTCTATAAATGAAAAATGTTGACTTGTTTTGAGCTGTTTACGGATATACTCAGTTTCAAACATTTTTATGTTTTTTTTCTATGAATGTCAATAAAACTTTATTTGTTAAGTTAAAAAAGCTTGAAAATTTAATACAAAGCTTCTATTATGTTGTTACAACGACATTTGAAAAATATTAAAATCCTTAGTCACAGTTTATTTTTATAGTCATTTTAAGTTCAAATTTGGACGAAATTACATATTAAAAAACCTAGAATAACTATTTTAGTTATTTTTTTTGTGATTGTAGGTATAATATTATTCGTATGGGTACTTGAAACTTCTAAAGAATACTATTATATATTCTGATAGTATCACGGTTTGTTGTTGATGTATAACACGTTATAAGTACCTAATGGATATTGTGATATGATTAATTTGGAATTTATTATAGGTACCTATAATAGGTCAATTTTTTTTTAATGCCATTGATATCTATGAAAAAAAATTATATGTATATAATATGTCTTAACTAAACCTAAACTGACATACCGTCTCCGCTCAGAATCGTTTTTCTTATACAATGAATAATGATATTATATCATTGAATTCAAATTTAATACTATCCATTATACAGTGACCCACTTGTAACCTACTGTACAGCAGAACACCTTTTTTTGTATGTATAAATTAATAAATAATAATAAATCACTAAATAATACTAAAAAGGTGGGCAAGTGGGTGTCGCTCTGCTGTACAGTAGGTTACAAGTGGGTCACTGTATAATGGATGGTATTAAATTTGAATTCAATGATATAATATCATTGTATAAGAAAAACGATTCTGAGCGGTGATGGTATGTCAGTCTATGTATAAGGCATATTATATACATATCTATGGTATTAAACAAAAAATTGACCTATAATAGGTACCTATAATAAATTCCAAATTAATCATATCACAATATCCATTAGATACTTATAACGCGTTATACATCAACAAAAACCGTGATACTATCATAGATATATAATAGTACACTTTAGAAGTTTCAAGTACCCACGAATAGTATTATTCAATCACAACAAAATAACTAAAATCGTAATTCTTGGTTTAAATATGAAATTTTGTCTAAATTTGAAATTAAAATGTGTGTAAAAAATAAGTGTGTTTATATATTTTTTAGATTTTTTGGTTACAGTATGAATTATTTAAGAGAATCTTTGTTTTAAATTTTCAACTCTTAGTTATAAAAACTGAACATTTTATAATTTTTTAATTCCAACGATTGATAATTTTCGAGATTTTGATAAATTTTGTCAAAATTCCAACTTTAAATGCTTATAAAAAAAAATCGTGCCTATGTATTTTTAATATTTTTCAACTGATATTGTAACAATATATCAGGAGCCTTGTATTAAATTTTTACACTTTTTGGCCCAACAGATAAAACTTTATTGATATTTATAGAAAAAAAAACTAAAAAAAATTGAAAGCTGTAAATGTCCATAAACAGCTCAAAAAGAGTCAAAATATTTTCAAAATTGTATGGTGTATAGGAAATGCTAATATAAACATTCAGTGAAATTTTCATGTATCTACAGTTATTCGTTTTTGAATTACAACAAAATAAGGAAATCGCTACATGAGAAATCGAGTGAAAATCCAATGTTGTAAAAATTTGAATTTCAAACGCCCATAAAAATTTAATTTAACTGTCCGGTAGAGATTTTTTTATTGATAAAGGTAGATAATCTTATAAGGAATCTTGTGTTTCATTTTCAAATCTTAGATTTAAAAAGAAAAATTTTTACGAATTCTTAACTCAAAATAATTTGCTAATTTTCGTGATTTTTCCATATTTTGTCAATTTTTGAACTTTAAATGCTTATAAAAAAAATTGTGACTAAGGATTTTTAATATTTTGCATCTGCCTTTGAAACAACATATTAGGAGCCTTCTATTAAATTTTCAAGCTTTCGCAACCAACAAATAAAATTTTATTGCTATTTTTAGAAAAAAAACTAAAAAAAAATGGAAAATGAAAATGTCCCTAAACAGTTCAAAATAAATCAAAATATTTTGAAAATGTTATCGTGTATAGAAAATGCAAATATAAACAACCAGTGAAAATTTCATGTATATACGTTCATTTGTTTTAGAGTTACACCAAAACCAAAATCGATTTTTTGGAAAACCAATTTTGCGTAAAAATTCCCGTTTTTCTTTAATTTTTATGTTGTTTTTCCCGGCGCTTGTGAAAACTATTGGGAAATTTATACTTTTGACCCCCCAAAGTACCAACTAGATTCACTTTCCTATCAGAAAACTATTATGATAACCTACTACTGATGAAGAAAATCCAAGCACTTTTACTGTCCTAAAACGTGATGACAGACACAAAAATAAAAAAAAAAATAAAAAAATAAAAAAAAAATTAAAAAATTAAAAAAAAAACACACATCATTGTAAAATCAATACATTCATCGTTTCACTCAGAATCTAAAATATATGGATATACTCTGGGATTAAGAAAAATTTATAAAATAGGTTCTAAACTACTAACTGCCAACTGGTGATTTAATAATAATTTCTTTGTACATACACTTCACTTAAATTAAGTACTAAGTGGAATTTCATCTTAAATATATACTAATGTCTAATAGTAATATTTTTATCTCATTTAGAAAAAATGATCTTCTTTTATCATTTTTAGGCTTCCTACTTCCTAATTCTTCTTTAATTTAGACATTGTTATGACATTGTTAAATAAATTAACTAATATTAATACTAATAGAAAATAAGACAGTTGATTCTTAAAAAGAAATCTTGAGATTGTTACATTGAACTTTTGAATGCAGTCAATGATTGTATTGAAATATAACTTATAAGTATAATATTAAAGAGTAAAAACACAAGTAACAATTAAACATTTTTTTGTTTATTCAATTCTTACTTTTACAAACCTCCTAAAAATTAAAATAGAATGTAATTTTTAAAAAAACCTGTAATAGTGTTTAAAAATATATTATAAAAATAATTAAATTGTTGAATATTTTTTGCACCAAATTTAAGAGGAAGTGATACCCGCATGTGTTGTATCCGTCTTACAAGTGCGTAAAGGCTAAAATTTACAATTTTAAAATATTCATAACTGGCTTTAAAATTAAAATATATTAAAAAGCCCATGAGGTTGCCTAAATAATAATCTTACTTTTAGATTTTATGAGAGGTAAATTCGCTCTAATTTTTAAGCTAACAGAGCTAGATGTGTTCTGCTGAGTGCAAAATTTGGTATATTCAGCACTTGTAAGACAGAGACATCACAAGTGGGTAATCAAGTCCTCTTAATACATCGTAATTAAATTAATAATACAATAATTATTATCATTAAATTTTACATTTATGCATTTAAAATGGAGTATACAAAAAAAAATATGCACTAATTAATCTCTTAGAAATAAATACAAATTTCAAAAATACTGTTCTGTAAACAGTTAAGTATAAAATATTTAAGTCCATTAAAATAAGTTAAGGGGACGTTATAGTGGCATTTGTTGTCTCCTACTTACAAGTGAGTACATAGCAAATTTTACACTCAGCAGAACATGTCCATCTCCGTTAGTTTAAAAATTAGAGAGAATTGACATCTTTTCCAGTTTAAAGGTAAGATTATTATCTAGACAATGACATAGGCTTTTTATTATATTTTAATTTTATAGCGAGTTATGAGTATTTTAAGATGTACAAACAGTTTACAATTTTAAAATACACATAACTCGCTTTAAAATTAAAATATAATAAAAAGCCTATATCATTGTCTAGATAATAGTCTTACCTTTACATCTTATAAGAGCTCAATTTATTCTAATTTCATTTCACTCTAATTTTTAAACTTACGGAAATATATATGTTCTGCTGAGCGTAAAAGTTGCTATGTTAAGCGCTTGAAAGAGGGTTACAACAAATGTCACTGAAACGACCTCTTAAGGAACTGTTAAAAGGCAGTCACTGTTTGTAGATCTTATCAATTTAGTCAGTCATAAATTTAAACAAAGTAAAGATGCTTATAAAAAAGAAAATAGGAAACATTTAAAGGTACACAAATAATTGTTTTACATTAAACATTTATATTATCACGATCATTTTTTTCAGAATAGAGTCAGTTAGTCACCACCACCTAGAGATTTTAATGTTTATTTTCTTGATTTTTGAATTGTATGCATGGTCATTATGGTTTGGCAGACATTTGCATGACGTCATACTTGCGCTCTTTCTTGCACAGAATCGGATAAAACAGTACCCAGTAATAAACGGCTATGGCACCAAATATAATCGTTAACACTATTGCAATGATAACCCATGCTGAATGGAGAAGAGAGTTCTTGCGCACCAATTTCATATCTGTTTTATTTACAAAATATAAATATTAAATACCTAGGTATTGAAAAAACATCACAAGGAAGAGGTAGGTACACAAAATGACTGCAAATCGACAATAATGTTATCCTTATAAGTTATAATTATAATATGTTTGTGATGATTTTTCGACTGACAGTCGTAGCAATGTAGCACACTCACCTTTGTGCACTGGTGGTAATTGAGATTTTTCTGACTCTTCAGGTTTGTCTTTATATTGACTTCGACTGTCAACATCATTGACAAATGCAACTGTGATATTAAAACAGAAAATATTTGTATTATTAATATTGAGAAAGCAACATCATGGAGTAATGAGTATTATTGACACAATAAAAATTTAAAAAAATGTACTTAATAATTAATTTATACTATTTGTTTAATGTTAACTAATATTTAATACTACCTACACACCCCAATATAAGGAAATATATTTAATCAAAAATAAATTAATATATAAGATGTAACAATATAATATATTTTGTTGACACCTAAGTTATTATCTTTATTTACACTATATTTGGTCGTGTATTCATTTTTCATGAAAATATTAAATTAAAAATTAAGACTAACATTTGGTCTTAACACATAACTTTCCATTAATAACCTAATTTAACAAATATCAGGTACTAAGTATTATTATGATTTATGGGTTACCACTAGATTCATGATTACGCCAGCCCTGTACATTCTCCTTTGTTTGTGACCCAACCCGTCCCAACAACAACATTGATCCTGGCAACAAGAGAGTTTGACTATATCTGGGCCCTATTGACAAATTTGACCCCCTGCCAGAGCTTGAGCGGCCAGCACTCAAATGGTCTGTAAACAAAATTGTATTTAATATTTAAATCTTTATTGCATCTTTAACATGCAATTAAATAAGGTATATTTTTAACCATCACCTCCTAACTCATAAGATTAGCGTCATTATATTTGTATTCTGTTTCTGTCCTTCATAATAAATGCTAGAATATCTAGTAATTTGTAATTTCTTCACATCATTTGAGGTAGGTATATTATTATTATCCTAAAATTAAGATTTAAGATGACATAAGCTATTGGATTCTTCATAACAAAATTACTCATAATAAATTGTGTATAATAAAAATAAATAATATTAGCAATGTATTTTAAATTGTATCTAAATGTAAATTGAAATTAATTGCTTTTATTATTTTGTTATAAACTTCAAAATACTGCAGGAAAAAGAAAAAACATTGGTTTGACTATTTGAAATTACAAAATATAGATACATCAAAAAATAAAAATTTTTATTTCATATGGTGTAATTATACTGGTAAAAAACAAAGCTTATTAAAAGTTAAATTAACATAATATAAATAATTTACCAGAACTAAGGTAGATTACTTCATACAAACTTATTAATATTTAATGTTGTAAAAAAAAATGTTTATATCTTTAAAATATGAATAAATATGTGTCATACCTGACATACGTACATACTTAATTGTTGAAACGCATATTATATTTTAATTAACTAATACAATAATCACAATAATTATTTCGTTTTGTAACTACTTACAGATTATTATTTAGGTACCTCTGAATTGTCACATAATTTGGTTCATAACAATAATATCTTTCTGTATCATCAATATTTTAGAATAACAAGTTAATGACAAATATGATTAGATTAAATAACTATATGAACACATAAAACTTCTAAAAATAAAAATGTGTTATATATTAAAAACAAAGTATGTTCACTAAAAATAATAAAATACTTTGTTAAATATATTAATTGTCATTTTAGGTACCTAACCTACCTACCTAATCGATTATAGTTTATAAAATTCAAAAATGAACAAGATTAGATTAGTTAATATTTATATTACCAAGTAGGAACTATATTTCTGTATTTCATCAGTAGGGATATAATTTTAATGGACTTAAAATCTTGAAAAATGAAGTACCTATAAAATGCATTGTAATTATACATACCTATTAATAAAAAATAAAAATATTTTTAATTAAAGATAGTATAGTTAATTAAGTTTGGACATGCGTGCAGAACATATATAATATTTAGGCATAAGACGCAAAAGAAAAAATAATTCTTAATATGAGTAAAAAGTTTTAATCGATTAAATTATTTTTACAAAAGTTAAAATAATTACTTATACAGGCCAAAAATGCCTAATAAATAAAAAGTTGAAAATTATATTTACTACGTAGTATCTAATTCAAACCTTACGATGATTAAGCTATGTCTCACAGTGTGCTAAAAATAATGTGCTTTTCTTCTATAATACTATATAATTCACAGTCCTATTCATGTAATCATCAATGTGTTAAACCTTCTTTTAAACACAAAGTTAAGAACTAAAACAAGTAGATTTAAACCTACAATAAAATTAACATTTGCCATAGGTACAACTGTACTATAGACTTTAATGTTAAGACTAAATTGTGATGTCTAGGCAACTTTCTTTCTGGTTTAGTTGTAAGCTTTAACAAGTTAATAAAACCTGTACACAAATAATGTGTTAGTTAACAGTTGTACTTAGATGGCTAGGTAGGAATATAAAGATATTAAAGTGTTAATTATCTGGTGATTTAATTCCCAAGTTAACTATTTAAACTATTTTCAATATTGAATATGCAACTCACCAAGTAAAACTCCCAGGACTACTGCAGTTGTAAATAACAACTGCTTCTGGTGTCCTGCAAGAGACATAAGTAGATATTTGTCGGATAAAAACGCGAAATTCGATAGGTAATAGATAGTTGTGTCTCGCTGTCGTCCCTAAAATTCAAATAACGCCATAGACATAAAAAACGGTATTATTATTTATTAAATTTGTATACGAAAAAAACGACTATTCAAAAAAACTTAGATATCCACATTCCACAGGTTGGAATAGTGTAGTTAGAGCGCATGCGCGTGAGTTACACAACAAATAAACAATAACAAGACTCGTACATGGTACATATATTTAATATTATATTACAATATTATTGTCTTGTCTACCATAGCCCATAGGACGTCGCCGACGTCGTACGTTTACGTTTCACAGACGAGTACCAAGGTCATACACCGCAGGATGGTAACAGTGTAATATGTTGATAAGAATGTAAACGGAACGAAATATTATGTTTTATCTGTCAATAATTGTCATGGAAAAATGTTGGGGTTGGGGTTGTGCGAACCACGAGTTAGCATATTATTGTCCTGACACCGTTCGTAGTTCCGACAAGGTTGCAACACTGAAAGATGAACTGGACGGCGGATTCCTGACTCCTAAGCTTGTCTTTGTCCACGGACTAAGATATACAGGACTGGAAACGGAGTATGATCAGTGGAACCCAAATGTTTTCATATGGTACATCACGGACACCCAGCGCCATCTATTTAGTGGATTTAGCATTGAACTAAAATAATATGAATAGGTACCAAAACAATTTTTATTATAATTATTATAACATAATATTATTCTTTATTTCTTTTCAACATAGGTAGGCATTTTATATTAAAAAATATATATTTTGAAACAAAGATATAACTGTTATCTATGTGTGAACTAATTTTGCAAACTTTTTGTATATCTTAGTCCGTGGACAAGACATAATATTAATAATTTTATTTTAAAATTATGTTAGCAATGGTTTTAAATAATATAATATATCATTATTTTTTACTATTTTTATTTTTTGAAATGTTTGTAATGTCGTTGCAAAGGTTTTCAAAAAAAATTATACTAAATTACACATTATTACAGTTATAATATTATAATAAAAATGTTCATTATATAGTATTTAATACTATTTATACTATATTTATACCATTAATATTTATTTTACTTCTAGAAAAGATATATTAAACAACTTGGACGAGGGTTATAGACATTTGTACTAAGATTTATAATTTGTTTCTACTGGATTAATCTTCTTTGGCCATCCCTGAACTGAATGTTTCAAATATATTATTGATAGGAGTATAAATGAATCTTATCTTATAAACCCCTATTTAATTATTTCTAGTTAAATTAACTACTATTTATCTTTAAAAAAATTATAGTAGTTTTGTTCACTAATATGTTATTATAAAATTACAGAAATAAACAAAAATTGTTGGAATTTGGTAATGACGTAATGTTGAAGACGAAAGAGAATAACCAATGTTTTTTTATTTCTGATGAAATTTTTTATTTTTAATAACTTATTTTTGCAATCATTTAACACAATTTATCGTCAATTAAACTTGTTATTAATTACACTCATTGTCTTTTTAAGAATTGCTAATTTATAAATATTTTTTAGTGATTTTATACCTTGTTATTTAAATATATTTGTATTATGATATAATGATATATCAAATTGTGATTTGTTTTCTTATAATAAAGAGTTCTAGACTAACACATATGTATATTTTTGGGATTTGATTGTTACTTACACAGGATTTAGTCATTGCATTAGTGTACTCCATACTTTCTATTCAGTTTTGTGTAACTTGCTTCATAAGCAAAACTGATTAAATAATTTAGCATATCTTTTTGAATTTAGAATACCTACTTAAGATACATTTGATTTCAAGACATTATAGGCTGATAGACAATCTTCTCTCAAAATTGCAGTGGCGGACTGGGAGAAAAAAACAGCCCGGGAAGATCATAATTTTAGAGGCGTGAAGTATACTAACCGCCCTTTATATAATATACCACAACAAAAACCCTTCGTAAACTACGTGTAAAAATGGCTAAGTAAAAAAAAATATTAGATCTTTAAGCACTAGAAAGATGTGATATCATGAATAAATGCTAAGTATATTGAATTTAAGTAAACTTATTTTTTCAATAATTTATTTACTTGAAGAGGAATTATTTCTTAAAAGAAACAAAGTGTGATGAACAAAATAATTAAAGGCGAAGGACTATTAAAATATAACTTATTATTATTTAAAAAATATTATTATTAATATTTATATACTATTCTAAATAATTCCTCCCTAAGTACCTAAATAAATTATTGAAACAAAATAAGTTTACTTAAATTCAATATACTTAGTATTTATTCATGATATAATATCACATCTTTATATTGCTTAAAGATCTTATATTTTTTTTTTACTTATCCATTTTTGTATGTAGTTTAAGAAGGGTTTTTGTTGTGATATCACTAATATTTATCATTATTAAATATTGAGTATTTACACAATAATCTATATAAGAACGGTAATATTGTTGGTAACAATGGCAACGCTGATGCGACGACGACGGCTACCGTGATTCTGAATTTAATATAAATTTCCATTAAAAAGTTGGCACTTTTTCATTTATAACTTCATTTCTAAACGTACTATTTAAGATTTTGATGATTTTTAAAAAAGCACGTTATACACAATATTTCTGATGTTTTGGAGTTTACTAGGAGTTAATTGATGCATAAGAAAATAGTTATGTCGTATAACAAATTTACCTGTATTTTACACAGTTTAAATAGGCAACTCCTGCTTTCTATATACTATACACACACCTTCGTGCAGTTATTATTTTTTTTTTACTTAGCTCGCGCCACGACCGTGTCAGTGGATATAAATAATAATAGTCTTTAGAAAAATTAACGCTCTATTTTGTATTAAGTAAATCTCATATTGTACTTAATTGTACTTTATTGTTATTATTTGTATTTAAATTGAATGTCTAATTTAAGAGCCTCTCACCCAAGCTTTTGCTTATAAGCGGTGAGCAGACTTACTACTGTATTTATAATTTACAATATGTTGGGAATTGTTTGCAAATAAAATAAAATTGTTATTATTAACGCGCTTGAAATTCTAATGCTGCGGGCCGACGAGAACGATAAAAATACTAGCTGGCTAGTAACACACGCCGTCGTCTGGGAAATTTTCTCGGAGATCGGTCTATATATTGTGTTGAACGATTTGTATTTAGCTCATTCTCGATTAAATCCAAACGCAAATATTATCTTCTTTCAAAAAATAAATTATGGCAACAAACTTTAACAACATCGACCGAGCCGCAAAAACATAATATTACTGGAAATGGTGGAAGAAATTTTGGTCAGCAAGATGGAACTCGCTTTGGCCGATGAAACCGACGAATATCTCGTTGTCGTTATTGTAGTCACTCCACTTCTGTCTGCCATTGTTACGGTCGCCACTACAGCGACGTTCAGACCCTGGAGTCGGAGCCCGAAGGCTCGACTCTCGGAGGCGCAGACGGAGAGGAGTTGGCTGAAGACGTCGAGGAGACCGTCTCCCCGCACTGTGGCGGAGTGCCGAGCGGCGACGCGCTGTCGTCTGCTGCAGAATCGGAGCTCGGTCCGATCCCAGAGACAGCACCGCTCGGCGACGACGACGACACAGTAAGAGAAGACGGAAATTCGAAGGTTACTGAAGCAGAAGTGGAGGATGTTTTGTGTCCAGAAGACGATGTATCGGATGAAAAAATCGAGACCGCCACAGGAGAAGACCCCCCCTAGGCGAAGACGACGGACAGGAGAAGACGGCGACGGAATGGAGGGGAGGATGCGGGAAAGAGCACGGACGGTGCGCGGCGGTAAGTCACCCCTCGCACGTTCTCCGACCTGCACCCGTGGCGCGACGGGTTCGCTGGCGTCTCGCGCTCGGTCGTCGATGACGCGCGAGACCTTCTGGCTGCTCGGCGAGCGCCGGACCGCAGTTACGGTCACGTGCTGCGATGGCGGCGGTGGACGGCGGCTAGTAGACGTACCGGCGGGGGCAACGATTCCGACCCGACGGTACACCGACTCGGTACGACGGTGGCGGCGACTCGGTACGACGGCACCGGTGGAGACCTCGGCACGGGGTGAGTGGTAAGGAGATTCGAATGCTAGGAACACGGGGACGTCAGCGGCGCCGGACTCGCAGAAACTTAACCGTTTCAGGGTCTGGAGGCGCGCGGCGGCCGAAGGGACAACGCCAGGGCGAAAATTACCGAAAGTCAAGGATCGCGCTGTGGTCCGCTGGCTCTCGCCTTTTCGCCCAGCGGTAATCCCAAATCGGCCTCTTCGATCGTCCCCACCGGATCCGCAGCACAGAATCTCATTTCGCTGGCTCCACGTCTTGGTCTTCGCCGTCCATCGTCACGAGTCGTCACGGCGCACGACATCGCTCACTAGTCGCCGTCAACCGTGGTCGCAACCGTGGCCGTCTCGGTCTGGCCTCGCCGGCTGGGCAAGGTCGTCAAGCGTCCGAGCAAACGCGCCAGTAACACTCGTCAACCCACGGGACAGGTCGGAGAACGTGCAGAGGTGACCAGTGGCCAGCAACACTGCATTTCTGCACCAATCGCCATCTCGCATCCTCCCCCCCTTGTTTATTGTGTCTATCCTGTCCGTCGTATTTTTTTTTCTTTAAATTTAAGTCATTTCAAAATTCAAAATTGTTAAATTGTTCACACATTTTAATTTCGGTTTTTTTTTCTTCTTATTCGCGGCCTTTTTGTTATAATAAACATATTTTGTGAACACAAAAAAATTTTGTTTCTTTTTTTTTTCGTTTAGTTCAATTTTTACAGATTTAACGACTAAAAAACGTTAAAATATATATTTTAAATAAAAAAACTTGTTGGTCGATTTATACTTATACGTCATCAAAATCAATCGGGTTATATATGGGTTTAAGGTTTTGATAATTTTTAAGGGTTTTTTAAGGGTTATGGCTATACGGGCTAAACGGGTGCAAAGCCTTGATTT